CTTTTACCGATTTATTTTTCTCCGTGTGACGTCCGTATAGAAGATCAAAGAAACAATTTAACTTTGGGATAAATGGAGAGGAGAGAAAAACGTGAATATCTCGGAAATTAGATGCGACAAAGTGGGCCCTTTTCACGTGGACGTACACATATAATTGGACTGAAATTTATAGAAATTTTTAATTTGCAATGACGAAATTCCTTGAAATTTCCGTATTACGGCAACGCTATAAAAATTCCCAATAAGTTCCCGGAATTTCTGCGAAAATATTACTGAAACTTACAGACATCATTCCTGATTTCAAGACATTCCTTTGATTTTCAGGATCATGTCACTAGAAATTTTTTACAAAATGACTTAATTTTAACATTGCTTGCTCATTGCATTTCAGAAATGCAGCTGCCTAAAAAAGACACATCGATTCCTAGGAACAACGTTTTTTTTTCTCGGTAAATACAGACAATAGAGAAATGTCAGAGTACAGTGAATAAACTTCACTCGTCAAAAACTCCATAATGGCAGAGTTAAATTCCCTGATTTTTTTTCACTCTCGATTAATTTTTTAATGATTCAAATTGATACTTAAGTATTAATTGATTCATTCATNTTTCTCAGTAAATACAGACAATAGAGAAATGTCAGAGTACAGTGAATAAACTTCACTCGTCAAAAACTCCATAATGGCAGAGTTAAATTCCCTGATTTTTTTTCACTCTCGATTAATTTTTTAAAGATTCAAATTGATACTTAAGTATCAATTGATTAATTCACATCGTTCCATTCCATCGGGAGATATTGTCGATTGGAGACAATTTTTTATGGTCACTGAAGAATGCAAACCATTCATTTAAATCTCGCAATAATCTGCGAAAAGTCTCATTCGTTAATCTATTATTATTGATTTAATCCCATTATGTGTATGAGATTTGTTGAGATATAATCTCTCACAAATATTGAATATATTTCTCATCAAAATAATTTGAAATTCATTCATTACCTTTGTATCACTGACAAAATATGTAATAAATGTGAATAAGATTAATTGCACGTATTTTTTTTTTTATTAAAGATCTAGTTGTATAGAAATTCAAATAAATGATCCTCTTTCGCTCAAGACTTCATAATTCCTTCTCTCCCTCTCCTTTATGATCAACTAATTTACAAATTAAGACAATAAGAAGTTGTATGAACGAAAATGGGATAATCAAGCGGATGAGCGAATGCAAAGGAGGTTTCATGTTGGATTTAAGATTGGGAACGCATCCCTGTTATCGACTGTTTCCATGGTAATAGATGAAAATTTCTTTACCCACAGAGACGGCCTCTCGATTAGTTCATGCGCGCCACCGCTATGTAACTCTGTTCGAACAGGTCCCATAAGCCTGAGCAATCTCTCCTATTATCTCTGGGTCTATCCTCTTTGTGGCCGACTTTCAATAATTTTCATTATCGTGTGAACTTTAAAATGAGAATTCCATTGAATATTAGGTAATGGAGAAATTTTTCACTACCAATATGTAGGAAAACTTAATATAAAATGGTCGTTGTTCAACCCTTCAAGATGTTCTACGTGAAATTTCATGGGTACTTTTCTAACAGTGTATGCGGAAAGGAAAACTGTTCATTTTGAATCATATGAAACGATGCATGAAGAAGCTTAGGCACAAAAGAATCAAATGACAGATTTCAATGAGGGAGAATCCTGATCGGAATTATTCTTGACATTCCGCTCAAGATCTGACTTGGATCACGATCGTTATAATGCAAAACAGTCTAATGGACTGGTATAGTTATTTCTTCCACTACAATAGATGGGGATATTCCACAAACGTATTTTAGATCTTAGAAAGTTGGAAACAATTGGTTCTCTAAGGAAGTCTCATCATCGCTTTTTTTTCATTAAAACGAAGACAGTTTCTAGAAGAGACTCGAACCATCGATTAATTTATTATTTTATTCTCTTGGTGAAGGAGGATGGTATCAAAATCTAAAATATGTTGATGCTAGGTCGAAAATGGTTACTGCTGATAATTACACCGATATGCTTGATTTTTTATAAAAATCCGCGTATAAAAATAACTTAAATTGGGAAAGTTACCATCTGATCATTAAGTTTCACGGGGTGGCATAGGTATATAATAAAATACTTGTAATATACGATGGATATGGTTCGCACATTTGAGAAGTCCAATTTAAGTATAACAATGAACTGTAGCACCGCCCCAATGGCCATTTTCCAACAAATTTTGAGCAAAACACTACTAATGCAGGCAATAATCGCTGACGAATTCCGCTAATGCTTTCCCACTCAATTCGACAGCAAAATTCGGAGAAGGTCAAAGGGGCCTAAGATTAATATCCATCAGTTGCAATACTCATGGAACACAATTTCACTGTAAAACGACACCAAGTTAGAGCGCAGCAACAATTGCGCGCTAGGAATGGTGACATAATCAAAGAAAGGATAGCAGAAGATCACATTCCTTTAGACAGGAAAGATATCACTGTGCGTATTTTTTATATGGAAAAAAATTCTCATTAATTTAATTATGACTCATTCAGTGTTCAGGAAAAACGCGATCTATTGCCGATATATCTTCGTGAGACTCTGCAAAATCAACGTTTATTTAAAATTAACGACCGCACAGGCCAACACCTTTCCATTTCAAATGAAAAAAAAAAAATATATATATATATATATATATATATATATATGGGCCAAATATATATAATAAATATATACGGGCCATGTAGTGAGTGGTATCTTGTGAATGAGAACTCGGAATCGAAAGATTCTCCTGACAATTATAAGACGAAGACTAATTATAAGACAAAACTATGGAGATTATATATTCAGATCCACTTCATTGATAATCAACCGCGTGAAATTGTGATGATAAATTATGCAATTGCATCTGAGAATTATATCAAATATTATGTTCATATTAATCTAATGATTAATTTCTTCAACAATGGGATTGAAGACGCAGACACTAAGTGCCGAGCGCGCGAAGCGCGCTTTATAATGCTAGTAAAAGTAATTGAGGAACATGACTAAATCTCACATGAATGATAAGTCGATTACTAATGTAGAGAGGGAAAAAGATAAACAATACTATTGCACTGAATCACGTCTGCATCAATATTTATTTACGGTGATTACCGATGAAACCGATACCTCAACGATACAAACTCATAAAATTACATTCGATCTGTTGCACAACACTGAATACATCGAAACCCCCCTACCAATCGGTGTGTCAAACGACCATTAAACGCGGTATGAAGACAAAAATACTCGTTCCCCAACAGTTCCAACAATACTCCTTCAGTTTCATTGAGAATTTCTCCTTCTTTTTATTTCACTAAAAAGGAAATGCATCCCAGAGATATAAGACACACAACTACGTATCGACATTGATGATTTAGAACAAAAACAAAAAATCCAACCTATTCTGGTCAACCATTTTGCCACTCAGGAAAGATGGCCGTCCAAGAAACACGGGTTTTACTCTTATTTTTACCGTAAAATCTAATCGGTTTAGTGTCTCAAGTGTTGAACAAGTGTTTGTTAAGTGTGTTAAACAATGAATAATAGTGAATATTCCATTGAAACAAATGAATTCAATGATTAATCCACATTTAATTCTCGAAAGAAATCATTCAAAACTCTGTCGTGTGTGACATCTAACCTCAAATTTCGTTTACTCCTGTGGTAATAGTACAATTTCCACATAATATCCGCTGTATTCCCTCCCAAATATCAATTAAAAAATATAAATTGAATCAAACTACGACAATTACCGTCAAAACTTGTCCAAACTCACGAATCAGTGCCTCATAGATTAATTCCATATATATGAAACGTGTATATATATGCATTCTAACTCCTACTCATTCGCTCTCAAAACGTCGTTCAGTGTCTGACCATGCATTTGCATGTGCATCATTACGTTACTTTAAAACATTAGACGCATAATTCTAACCTTCGTACGAGAAAAACAGAGAAAAAAATGCTGCAATTTTCATACTATCAACTGGGTGCATGTAGTAAATACTGGCTGTTGTTTTTACTAGTGATTGGAATACCAGTAAATTCCTTAACTGAATCATAACATTTCAATTGATGGACATTACTCATTATCAAGTTGTTTCCAACTCCAGAAAACATTTTTATTTTATCATTTTGTCAATAATCATCAAGAACCATCAGCGGAGATACAAGGATTACAGTGTTTTGCAAAGAGTTGACGTCCATCAGAATCTAGTGTTTTTTGTAGCAAATACTTGATGCATTTGACCTTGTTGTACTCTCAAAGATTTATAAATAAACATTTTTAATTAAGTATAAGTATACGGTGGATATCATGATGGACGAGAGGAGAGTTGCGGATTATTTTGTTGTTGCTGGTCTACCTGGTGCGAATGATGACAGTGATAAGGAGAATGAATCAACTGAGAAACTTGAGAATTGGTGTCAAGAGGGGACACACCTCAAGGATATGCATATGCAGGCACCTATCACTGATTTGGCAGTGATATTTACATCATTAGGGGAAAAGTGCCCTGAGGGCTTTATATGCTTGGAGCAAACTGTCTCTGGATTTCCAGCTGACCTCAATCATGGAAGTTTAAGGACTAATGAGTGTTATTTGTGTTATCGGAGGGGAAGGGACAAACCCCCTCTTGTCGATATTGGTAATCATTTGATTCCAAACATTAATTAAAAAAGGGCTACTGTCAGTTTCAAACATCACATCATATTGAAGTGAGGATCTCTATGTGTGCAAAAACTGGTATTTAGCATGAAAAAAAATCATTATTTATTGTCCATTAGCCATACAAAAGCCTAACATAATATAATCGGAAACAAGGAGCAGTGTCTTGAATTTTTTAGATGGAACATTTTTTCTTTCCTCAAAATTTTACAGAAAATGTGCAGATCAATAATTATGACTCACTTAATTAATGTTTTTATACAAAAAAAATCACGGAATGTGGGAAATAATTCAACTATAAAGTATATAGATATTTCTACTGATTTAGATTTCGAACATCAAAAAACTTCATTGTAGTTATTTTTATGGGAAATTTTAGGGGAAAAAAAGTTGTCTATTTAAAAAATTGACGACTCTAGATCGTGTTTTCATTTTTATTATCGTAGCATGGCTAAGGGAAGCAATTATCAGTTCTTGCAAACATGGAATGCAAGGAAAATATATGGAGATCGTCATTTTAATAAGCGATGGTATTTGGAACTCCTAGTAGTCTCCCCTTAAAAGAACAATTGGCATTCATTGATTGAGATTAATTGCGGAACTATTTTATTCCAGGTGTCATTTACGAAGGAAAAGAACGCATAATGGTAGATGCCAAAATGATCGAGAAAACCCCTTCAGGTCATATAGCAAATATCAACAATTCTACATCGAAAATATTCGTAACATACAGACGTGCAAGTCGCAAGATGCCATGCAACTCATTAGTAGTAACCGATATTTGTGTAATATTGACAAATAAAGGTGAAACAGCGCCCCAGGCCTTCTGCACCATAAACAAGAATCTTAACAAAGGAATGTTGGGTAGTGACGTTTTTCTTTGCTACAAGAAATCAATGGATCGAGCCAATCTCATATCCTTCAAGCCAGCGATACTCTACAAATATCCAGTCACTGATTACAATAGTTTTGGATTTCCCAATTCAGTTGCCATGTTCTGTTTGCCCATGGGTGCAACCATTGAGTGTTGGCCAAAGGTTGCCTACAAGCCTAAACCAGTTTTCTCAACTTTTGTTCTCACTGTTGCTGATGCTGCCCAGAAGATTTACGGCTCAGCGATAACCTTCTACGAGGAAGTAGTGCCAGACTCCAATGGCTCAAACAATACAGAGCCCCTCGAAATACTAGAGAAATCTGATAAAACAGATGGTGAGAATATCACAGAGAACAAGCCCCAAGTGAAGATGAAGATATTCAAGAAATTTGGTGTTCTGAAGAGATTGAATTTAGCACAATTGGAGAAACTCCAGTATACAGACCCAGAGACTCAATCTTTGAACATCAGCAAATCCATCTGCATCCTCTCCCACTGGCCGTTCTTCGATACTTTCGAAAAATTCCTTGGATTTCTTCACAGCCTCACTGATGGTAAAGCTCAGAGTATACCCATCGAAAAGTACATTTCCTATTTTCTCTGTGACATACCATTTCCTAGCCCCCAAAGGCCTAGAATTTTCGTCCAACTCAGCAGCATAGACAGACTAATTCTCACTCAACCAGAGGACCTAGCTCTACCAAGATCCGGTGCTAGTTTTCGTCAATTGCTCATGAATCTTGGCCCTGACAATTGTATGCTGATACTACTGCTGATATTAACTGAACAAAAGATACTTGTCCATTCACTGAGACCAGATGTGCTTACATCAGTGAGTGAGGCTATCGCAATGATACTGTTTCCATTTAAGTGGCAATGTCCTTACATACCTCTCTGTCCACTTGGCCTAGCCGAGGTACTTCATGCACCGTTGCCATTCCTAATTGGCGTTGATTCACGTTTTTTTGATTTATACGATCCACCGTCCGATGTTAATTGTGTGAATCTAGACACTAATAATATTGTACTATGTGAGGATAAGAGACACTTGAATACTAAATTGCTACCGAAAAAAGCTGGTAGAATATTGAAGGGTGATTTAGACAAGAGCTATGCAAAATTGAATTCATTGGCGAAAACGCAGTCGTCCCAGCGAGAAAATGCGAGTGAGGATTTTAGTGTTGATAAGGAGTTTCAACAGAAAAGGAGGGAACAGGGACTAGAACTCGAAATACAGAATAGTTTTCTAAGATTTATGGCGTTGATTTTGAACGGCTATCGAAGTTACCTGTTACCAATAACGAAAGCACCGACAGTTGGATCTACTGATCCCACTAGTCTTTTTAATATTCAAGCGTTCCTCAGGAGTCGAGACAAGGCGCATGCCAAGTTCTACAGCATGCTTGTGAGAACACAAATGTTTATAAGGTTCATTGAGGAGAGCAGCTTTGTTTCGGACATGGATATGGCAGGTTTGGCCTTCTTTGATGAATGCACGGAGAGAATTGAAGAGGAGAACGTGACATTCTTGGAACTCGATGAATCTCAACACAGTGAGAGAACTGTATTCATACCACCACCTGATCCAGGCCCCAATCAGGAGCCCCTTGTTTATAAGACATTTCAATTGAATCCGGATTTGATGAGGCCACAGAAGAATCTCAGCTTGAAAAATCCAGCTGTGAGTTGTTTTGGCATAACACCCGGAAGTCCAATGGCTCGTAGAACAAAACATGAGATCAAAGTCGCCCAGAAAATGGCTCGTAAACAGGTGAGTGACATTGATTGCTCGTAAAATGGTTATTATTGTATTTTGGGGTATGGTTGATGAATCTTTTTTTAGGCTGGTCTGCCAGAGAGATGGGGCAGATGTCTTCTGGGAACCTGCTATAGTCTATGGTTCTTACATCTACCAGGGATGCTTCAGGTGTCTAGCCAACCTGCTGCTATTCTTCATCAGGCTTATGAGTTGCTCGTGAAAATGCAAAAGCTCAGATTGGATCCAATGGAAGAGGTAATTGATTCTTGTTGGAATGCAGGGAGAAAAACGAATCGTTCAATGAAGATTGTCTTAGAATCAAGATTATTTTTGTAATTCAGTAACAAGAGCAGTATGTCTTTGAAAGGAGGGGGTTTAAGAAAATTTATCACAAAACTTTCTTTGATAACATTTTATGAACTAGAAGGAGATATTTCGATTTTTGCTTCCGAATGGAAGCATTGTAATCATCCATATTTCACATTCTCTAATTTTTATTGGAAATGATGTAGAATGGTTTGAAACGTAAAAATACGAAGTTTGACGACCACTTCTGGTGGTCAATTTTTAGAAAATGGAGTAATTAAGTGATTAAGATAATTCAAAAAAATCTGAAATTCTGTCAGATTATAGGTCTCAATGAGAATTAACTCTGTGCAAAATTTCAGCCCGATCGATCTAATAGTTTTGGAGAAAAAGCGATTCGCTCTTAAATCGTTTTCCGCAAATATCTTCAAAACTAGTGGACCGATTTCGATTTTTTTTGTTTTCAAAATATTCATTTCGATGCCTTCTATCTAAATAAATTGAAATATATACACTCGTTCATACAAAGTTTTCGAGATATACCCGTTTTTCCGTTTTTCATAAAAAAAAACATTGTAATCACTCTAGCTTGTGCAAAAATCGAGTTATCAATTTGAAATTTGGACAGAATCCTCTTATGATAATAACGGTTCTTATTGGAGATGGGTTCGAACGCATTAGTAGTTTCCGAGATATTCGACTTTTTCTGAAACTCTTTTAGAGGCAATATCTTCAAAACTACGCAACCGATTACTTTTTTTTTTAATATTCGTTTCGATACAAAGTTCATACAAAGTTTTCGAGATATTCCCTTTTTTCTGTTTCTCATTTAAAAAAACTTTATAATCATGCTAGCTTTTGCAAAAATCGAGATATCAACCCCTTTTCTGAAGCTAAAAAAAAGTGGCCAAAAAGATTCTTTTGGAAGGCAGGGGGGGGGATTGGAGGCCCTAGCCTACTTTTAACATTTTAAGCGTGTGCGGGGCAAACAAACAGTAAACAATATTTTTTTTTGCACTAATTATTCATTTTTTGACATACATAATCGATCTTCGATAATGCATGAGAAATTTCACCCAAATCACCCGCGACTTTTAAAACTCACAGTAGTCTCCCCTTAAAAGTCCAGTAATCGTGGAGTGGAATTTCCACGTACTTTTTTACTCTCTTTAGTATTCTTTTGCTCCAGAAAGTTTACTGTATCTAATTCCTCCCGAAATGGTAAATTTTTTTTAGAATTGCAAAAATTATTGCGCCAGGGAATTTTTATGTAAGGTTGGTTAATTTTTTTTTGGACACCGTACAGTAAATTATCTGTCACTTACCTCAAAGATTTCGACAGATTGCCGTATTTTTCAACTTCCAAGTTGCAAAACTCCCCTGTGAGTTGATATTCGTGCCTTAATAAAAGTTAAACCATTATTTTCTAGGAATGAGTAACAAAACATTACAAAATGCATGTGAAAAATTTTACTGTATGGACAGAGATAATTTAAACCTCCTTTCCTTCCATGTTTTCATAAAGATATTGACAAAATAGTCTGTCGCCAATTTTCATTGCAATTCAAAAGTTCATTGAGAGATGATATTATTGGTATTTTTTAACTTGAAAAGTGCAAAACTCCCCTGTGAGTTAATATTTGCTCCTTAAAACTTAAATCTTAATTTTTTAGGAATGAGTAAAAAAAATGCAAAATCCATGTGCAAAATTTTACTGTATCGACCGTCAAATCTAAACTTCCTTCCTTTCCGTGTTGTAAACTTCAGATAATTTAAACTTCCTCTCTTTCCGTGTTTTTACAACGCTATTGACAAAATAGTCTGTCGCCCATTTTCATAGCCATTCAAAGGTTCATTGAAAGATGACATTATTGGAATAAAAATTCCTCGTGAATTTCACACCTTAGGTTTGCTATAGAGCAATGATGCAGCTATGTGGTGTTTATGGACAGCCAGTATTGGCAGTGAAATTACTCTTCCACATGAAACGCAGCGGGGTGCAACCAAACGCCCTCACTTATGGATTTTACAATAAGGTATAATAATTTTATACGACACGTTTTACTACCATGAGAGCACTCGTGCTTAAGAGAAATATTTAATTTTGAAAATAGGCTGTCCTTGAAGCCACGTGGCCTTCAGACATGACCAACTCCAGCCAGCTAATGTGGAACAAACTGCGTAATGTTATCGTGGGCGCCGCCTTGTTCAAGAGGGCAGGGAAAAAAAGTGCCAGGAGGAGATTGAGTTCCAATCCCGAAGTACTTAGTATCGATGGTCTCAAACACCAGGGGATGGAACACTTGGCCACGTCCAGATCTAGTCTCGATAGTACACACTCACATGATCAAGAGGCGCTGAATAATGACTGTAATTTTCTGATTAATTCTTATTTATAGGATGAATTTTCGAATAATGCAAGGAATAAGATTCGAAACAAATTGAATAGAAACAAATCCTCATTGATCAGTGAGAGAACAACAAACAGGTTGTCAAACAGGTTTTATTTGGACGAAAAAAATCGTAAGTTGAAAATTACTTATAAAAGAAAAGCCAGTGCTGATCAGTTGAAGATGTACTGAGCTGGAAAACGGTTATCGCAAAAATAAATTTAGTTGTTCCAAAAAATCGTTATTTTCTGCACAAGTCAGAAATTTCATTTCTAGTACCGTATATATATTATTCTGTACTGCCATACGTATTTTGTTCCCGAAAAATTTTCCTTTTGGGCGAAAGAAGGGAGAGTAACTGTTCATTTCAGCTATTTAATAATCGAAATATTTATTGATAAACTTACCTTTAGGAGAGATATTTTTATTCTACAAAGGTACCAACTTGAGTGATCCGCCTCTTGAGCTGAATATTTCAATGTTGCTGAAATTTCAACGATTATTCATGTTTGAAACTTTCAAATTCTAATGCAACTATTTCTTTTTTGGTAACTTTTAGCATTTCTTTGGGTGAAACAAGACTTCTTTGTAGAGGATTAAATTAAATTATCATGATGATATGATAGCAATCCTGTAACTTCGAACCAAAATATTTCTTCTTAAATTGCCCTTTACGCGACATTTTCATCCTAGAATCCGCCTTATTTGACAATCCGTCCCCTGTACTCAGCGATTGATGAGAATTATATTATTAATAAATTCTTCTAGAATAAATACGTCAAATGAAAGAGTTCAAATAGTGGGCAATTCATTCTACTCTCTTGAATTTGTAAAAGCATATAGTTTCATTTATGCAATACTTCGACCTTCTTCATTCTAGTAGCATTGAAAGGCAGCTCAGTGCCGGACCTACCGAATTTCGGATTACTGGAGATGAGGAATAAATTCCGCCGCCAGGATAGTATCGTTAAAGACACTGGAATGCTAAGTGCATCGCAGCCTGAGGCGCTGGATGAGTCACCGACAGACTCGAGGTAAATTATTGAGCATTGTTTTCACATTTGTGGCATTACTGACGATCTCTATAATACCGATAATTCATCACTGGTTGAACGATTTAATAGATCAACACACAGTCCTGAATCTCCTCTTAAGAGTCCCGTTCGAACTCCGGTTACCGAGAATGATCCACTTGGGGCATTGATGAACGACGAGACACCCATTGTATCGCCGTCCGAAGAGAATGACTCGAATTGCTCAACGAGTACACTGACTGTTGTTAATAATACGATCGGTGAAAGACCCGGTGGGCCTCTTCTATTTCGGAGGTATCATTGAGAATTGTGCTTAGACTGAAGCGAAGTTGTAAAGGATAGAATTGAAGTTGGGTTTGATATCTTGATACAGATCATTTCGTAAATATTTATCGAACTTTTACGTTTGAAGAAGAATGTTAAGAGATATTTTTTACCTTCCATAATATTTTTTGAGATGAAGGTTTTGATTAGAAGTCTAAACCCCTGCTTTTCTAAGATATTTCGGAAATTATGTGAGAGCAAGATCTACTATAGAATAGACCAGAGGTTTAGTCGAACCCTTTGCTATAGATTATTTTAAAAATATTTTTCGTCACAAGGCCCGGTAAACCGCGATTCTAACCTTGCTTCGCTCGGTTGCATTCATCACAAGGTCCACAAAGTATTTTCTGACGAATGTGATTATAGGCCTCGCCTTCGGCTCGGCCAATAAAGCCACATTTGTCAGAAAATACTTTGTGGACCTTGTGATGAAAATAACTATCTCGAACTAGTAGATTTGAAGAAGAATGTTGAAAGCTCTTTTTCTTATAATCCATAACTTTAGTGCGATAAAGCTTTGAATTAGATCCTTCTAAACCTCTTCTTTTCGAAATTATTCCTAAAATTATCTGAGAGGAATATCTGCTACAGAATAGCACAGAGGCTGAGTCGAAACCGTCGATATAAATTATTTTGTAAATATCTCCAGAACTAAAAAGTTTAAAGGGAAATGGTGAGGTCTTTTAATGTAATCCATAAAGTTTTTTACAAAGAAGATCTCGATTAAATTCTTGTGGATTGTGGCTTTTCGAAGATATTCGTTGAAATACTGTGAGGTATTATCTAGGGGAGAGTCGGGCAAAATGAAACAGCCGAAAAACAACTATTTGACCCAATTCGAGCAAAAAAAAAAATGTTATCAACTTTTGTTCATCAACTTCTTTTATTATTGGGAGTACTGATGAGAATAATAATTTTCTATTCGTCCTATGATTCAATTGATCATAATTCAATTTTTTAGATTAGGCCGATTATACTTTTATTTTTTCATTCGATTGAAATTCAGCATCACCTTTTCCTGTTTCCCCTTCCGGGTCTCCCCCTGGGCCTTGCTCTGGACTTTGGATTTTCCTGTTTTATTTTCTTTTCAATCAATCCATTGACAAAATTTTCTCCAGGCAAAACTTTTAATAATTTTCCATTCTATTTAATAGAAAATTATTATTCTCATCAGTACTTTCAAGAATAAAAAAAAATTTTTTTGCTTGAATTGCGTCAAACAATTGTTATTCGACTGCTTCATTTTGCCCCACTCTTCACGGAGTTTTTCTTCTGTTCAAAGTGACGGCCAGGAAAAAATTCCAGTGCCGGCACTAGAAATTTTATTGGGGAAAATGTGATTTTTTCCCCGTATCTCTGTGAAAATTTCACAGAAATCCCCGAAATTTTACCAGAAATACCAAGAAATTTTACCTTAACAGCACTAGAATTTCTCATAGCCGGTGGATTGTGATTTTTTCCAGTACTTGTACTAAAATTTTTCTAGAAAATTTCTCTCCGTGTTCCCTACTGAAGAATAGAATACAAGTTGAGTCAAATGTTTTTTATAGAAATCAGCCTTGCAATATCTTTAGAACTTGTAGGTTTAGAAGTGTAACGTTTGGACGTTTTAGCCGGAGGTAAAACGCAATGAAAGTTCTTTTTCACTATTTTTATTCGTGCGGTGTAATCCTTTTATCCTTGGTTGTCACTCCGACCTCGACTAGCTTCGGCGGTGAGCTCACGGGGGATTCGCTCACTCGGAGGGATGTGAAGGATATGAAGGGATAAGTTCTCAATAACCACTCGCGTGTTTAATATAAAAGGACGATATATTGAAACGATAATGGTACACGCTATTGCTTCTAGTTGGATTGATATACACGTTGCTAAATTGATTCGACTTGAACTTAGAACTTCGACTCGATTCTTGGGCTTAAGGCCTGAGCTCAGAGATCCGCTCTGTTTCACTCCTGATCGTACTCTGCTTCTTTCAGAGTCCCCGAAATTCGTCAAAGCTCGTCAAGGGCCCAAGTTGCTTAGCTAAGCAGTCTCACGGTTAGCTTTACCAATACTACTTTATGTCGTCATTGACATGGACGAAAACAGTCAAACAGTTCAGTACACCTGAACTAGACTCTTCCTAACGGTGGGACTGCTCATCAAGATGTCCAAATGACACCGTGGGATTGCTGACCAGTGTCTGGATGACAGGAAAGAGAAATCATATTTCTCGTTCCCACCATCCAGCATTATATTATTATTTTATATAATTATTAACTAAATCGACGTATTGATCGATCCCAATACGTCACAGAAGAAATGTCAGAACATCTTTTTATATGATACGTGCGTGTAACCGCATGGCTATAGTTGACTATAGTCAACTGAAACCCGAAATAACGCATGACGGCATGCGCATCACTTATTAAAAGAGAATAACAAGGAAGGAAATCTAACCCCCGAATAGTGAATACATGGAATGACTGAAAAATGAAAAGGTGATTTTCGAAGCAGATAAAATGAGCCAAAATCGTTTAATTCCTGATAGTGATGAAGAGTTAGGCAGTGAGGAGAATTTATTTACTGATGAGGAGGAGTTTATTGGTGATGTGACATTTGAAGAAAATGGAAATACAATATTCTCCGATTTTTCAATTACGTTTTGTATCATATTTTTTTATAATTATAACTTTCTTTTTTTTGCGAATTCTTAATGATTTTTAAAAATTGTATTTTGTAATTATTATAATTAATTTTTTTCAATTAAAAATACTTTACAAGTTTTTTGAACTACATATTTAATGAATATAATTAATTTTTTCTTCAGAAGTTCCGCATAATTTTTAAATCACACTTTTTTATAATTATTTTTTTAAATAAATGTGATCTTTTTTCTTCAGTNCCCCCCCCCTCCGCCCCCAGACTTCATCACGCACTTATCATATAAAATAGTATACGCAACACGTGCGGACAGCAGGCGGTATCACTCGGGCGGCTGCGCCGCCCTCGTGAGTAACCGCCTGCTTTCCGCACTAGTTGCATAATGTACTATTTCCAAACCTACCTTGTCAAGACTTTTGAAAGATGATTTGGAAGGTAATTATCATCTAGAGAAAAGAACAAGAATAGAGCCTAATAGTTTGACGCAGATTATTCATTAATTATATTTGAAAAATCAGGAGAACTCTTTTGTATTTTCATGAAAAGTTGTATTCTAATGATCTTGAAACACCTCTCTCAGACCTCTGCAATCTAAAAATATTTTTGAAACAATATTCAAATTAGTTTCCATATATCTTCATTTATCACATCACCATTGTGAACTTCTTCGTAAATCACAATAACTTATGACGGTTTATCTACATGGTTTTCACAGCAATGCCATGCAGAGAAGCGCCACATTTCATCAGGCAGTCGATGACTCTCCCGCTGCAGTCAGCAGTCAACTCCAGAGAAGTGAAACAATGCCCCATTCTGTTGCACAACAAGGTGAACAGGAGAAAGAACGAGACAGACTGGAAATCAGCAGCCTCTGGTCCAACAAAGACAGTGTCACTTCTAGCTTATCAAGTCTAGGCTCCAGTTTAAAGCTCAGTTTCGGGTATGGCTCTAATCTGTTTAATCCCACACAACTGCACAATTATCCACAATCCTAGGATTTTTAGTTTACTTTAAACAATTACCTGTACGACTTATTCCACTGTCTTGTATTTATTATTTTTGTTTTAATTTATGATTGAGTTTTTTTTTTGTTATTTTTGTTCTGCACATTAATCTAGACGATACTCAGCTGGAGGTCTGGCGTTTGCTAAAAATAAGGATTTAATAACCCAAAACTTTAGTGAGTCCCTTAATCTCTCCAATTACATAAGGTTTGTAATTTATTTTGCTCTTCTCATTCACTTGCTTGAGAAATAATTCATTGAGCACGCACAAATGTTGAAAATATTTTCTTCCTACCCTTACAATGAGAGAAAAACAAACAGGTCCTCAAAGACGTCTTGTCGAACCAAAAAAATCACAAGTTAAAAATTGCCAAAAAAGAAATTGGTTCATTTGAATTTGATAGTCTGAAACATGAGTAATCGCTCTGCTTCCAATAGCATTAAAATATTTGGCTCAAGAGGTGGACCATTCACACGAGATGGTGCCTTTTCATGATAAAAATAGCCCTTATAATGGGCAGTTTATCAAGAAATATTTTGTTCATATCATTATTATTATTCTAATTAGGAATTAATTTCTTATCTTCGATTATTGAATAGCCGAAACGAAAAATTACTCTCCCGTGTTTTTATATATCTAACTTTTCTCCACGAGCGAAATACGGATCATATTGAGTCTGGAGGCTGTTATCCAAAGTTGGGCTCTATTTTATGAAAATGAAATATAAATACTATTCCAACTAGTTTGGCACAATGAAATACTGTTTGGAATAGATATTTGAAGTTGACTATTTCGGCCTATCATATTATGAAATTGAAATAAAATCATTTTTTTTAGCGGAATAAAAAATGAAATAGTATTTATATGTATATATATATATATATATACATATATATTAGATGGATGATTTCAAATAGTATTTCGCCCAACTCTACTGTTACCGTATCAAACCATGCCGAAAAAAAAATCCGGATGATAGGAGTTAGAGCGTTGCCTTATGGACAGAATGAGAAAAATGAGCTTTCTTCCTTTCCCAGAAAATAACAAATTTTGGAAATAACTAAATTAAGTTTTGTGAAAAAGAAAATCATTTCAGGACAGTGTCCAAATGATCAGCACTAGATTTTCTATTTTCGATCATTTTCAACTTTAGATTGTTGCTTCCGAATGGAAGCATTGTATTCATCAAATCGGAAATTTTCATTTTTTTGGGTGACTATGACTAATTTTGGTCTCAGCAGTTCAAATATGCTGTTTTTAGATCATGTCCGTATGTACGTATGTATGTAAATTTTTGTTTCAAATTTTGTTTTTCGACGATCATTCAAAAAATAATCTTTGAAATATTTTCAATTATGACTGAAAATATTCGTTTGGATGTTATGTCGGTTGTGTTCGAAGATAGTGGCGATCGCATCATTTGCTTTGAAATTATAGCCTTTAATCGAGGTTTAATTATGATTTAGTCGGAGTTTAGTCAGGATTTAGTCGGAGGTTAAGGATGTTTAGCCAGTGTCGGCCAATTATCGGTAAATGTGTTTTTTTTATGGTCAAGGAAAATTCTGTAATTTTTTCGGCTGACAGAAGAACATGTAAAACTAACTTTTCGAACGTTAAAAAAAATTAAACGCAATAGTCTCAGCAAAAACGAATAAACTAATTTTTCCTTATACACGGGCTCTCATGAAATTTATGTTAAAATTGATAATTCACCTACTAGAAGGCTCTAAAAATAGAAATAAAAATAGAAGGTAATGTGTAAAATCATACTGAATCCAATGGCCAGAGAAACATCTGGGGTACCAGGGCAAAAAGAGGGAATATTTGAATGATTCTATCCCATATAAGCGCATGTTAGCGCATTTGGTGCATTTTGTCTATTTAATTTCTGAATAATGAACATGGGTTGATGGATTGAAATTTATATCAAAGTGAAGGGAATATCTTCATCTCTCAGTTTTAAAAAAATTAATTTTTTTTCAAATACTTGCGATTTTTGATAAACATCCTTAATCAGGGTTGCACCAAGGTTTCATCAAGGTTCAATCAATATTCAGTGGAAATTTGAACCAGTTTAATTTTAATTTAGTCAGTGTCTGTTAGATGTTCAACCAGGGCATGTGGAGCTCATGTTAGACATTTGGGATATTTAGGAATCATATTGAAGTTTCATGGCTGATATATCTTCTTCCCCAATTTACCATGAAGAAGCAAATTGCTAATTCATTAGCAAAAAAGTCATACTGGTCTCAAGTCCACTTTAAGGAAAACTATTCAGGAGAAAAATAGAACTTAAATAATTTACTGACGACCGAGGAGAGATCAACATTGATGTATCAAGAGCATGAACTCTTGTGATATCAAATTTTACATTCATTTTGTTTTCACTTAAATTGTCTAATTTAAATTAAATTCAGTTCACTAAAAAATTTTATCTCAAATTGTAAAAAAAAACTATTGAATTTTCCTGAGGTTAAACTTGAGGAAGGATGCCTACTAATCTGAAATTAACGACAAGAAATCGAATATGCACTTTTTTGTTTTAATTCGATTAACCCATTCGGAAGAATATTGCTAATTTTTAGCAAAAATACTATACTTGATTTAGACTTGTTCAATGAGCCACTTGTTTTGGTTCAAACAACACTTATTTGAGAAAATATTCTTTTTTCTCTCAGTGTACTCGTATGTTACAAAAATCCTGAAAAATACATGAAGAAAAATTTTGCAGTCCCTCGAGTCTCACTGGCAAGAAATCCAACGAAATAATCCTGGGGGGCTTGAACAGTCTGAAATCAGCAGCAACAACAGTCGTAAAGAAATTCGATGAAATAAAAGAGGCGATATCAGTGACCAGCACCCCGGTAAAATCGAAGGATCGTGACCAACGTCTGGGTTATGGTGTATCCCACGAATCTCTAGATTCATTGACCGATGGATCTCAGCAGGATCGCAACGAAATTACGGCGAGAATGTCTGGGGACTCTGGCATTGACGGCTTGGGTTCTCTATATGAATTGGCAGACTGCATGTATCCAAAAGAATCTCGAGAATTCGATGAACGTCCAGCGGTAGAACTTGTAATCTCTAGTGCCAGCAGGTGTCATCATTGTATGGCCATACTCTATGATGAGGAGATAATGGCTGGGTGGAAGCCTGAAGACTCGAATTTGAATACTATCTGTCAGTTTTGTGGAAAAGCCACAGTTCCTCTTCTCACAGTCACGATTTTCGATTACAGGTGATTTTTCCATTCTTCATTTTTTATTTTATCAATACCTAACGCCACAAAACCAATTACAGACAAAATATTCATGACGAATGGTATATAAAATACTTAAAGAATAAAATGATTACATGTGATGACAATCATCGATATGTGAATCCTATCTTATGTTAAACTTTTATCTTCATTTTTTTAAGGGGAGACTACTATGAATTTTTTCGTCATTCCGGCTGTAAGTAGCGATTTACGAACGCGTAGCGTTATGCCAAAAAATATCATTCGACATACGGCCTGAAAAACTTTTGTAGCTCATATGATTGCAACCCTCGCTTTCGGCTCGGGCTGCAAATTCATATTCGCCAGAAATTTTTTTTTCGGCCTAATGACCAAACATACTATAAAAGTCGTGGGCTATTGGATTGAGATTTCTCATACATGAAAGATCGTTTATATATGTCTAAAAATGAATAATTAGTGCAAAAAAATAATTGTTTATTGTTCGTTTACCCCGAAAACGCTTAAAATGTTAAAAATATTCCAGGGCCTCCAGTTTTTAAGCTACAAATTTTTTTTTTTTTTCAAAATTTTTGAAAAAATGTGTACAATAACAGTTACGAATTAGTTTCTTGAAATTCGACTCAAACACAGGTAATTTCGTTTTGTTTAGTATAAAAATTTGCGCCATTCATGTAAAATAGGCAGAAAAATTATCAGCTATAATACCCCAAGACCTTCAAAATTATCGGATATTTCTCGAATGTTTTGTTGCATAGCAACGAGAGGGATCAGTTGTGCAGATTAAAATCACGAGCGCGTAGCGCGAGGGATTTTACTGCAAAGCTGATCCCGATCGTTGATATGCAGGTAAACTTGAGGGAAATATCCGATGAATTTTGAAGGTCGAGGGGTATTCGGAGGACAATTTCTTCAATTCTGATTTTGGCCGATCAGGCTGCTAATCAGTCTGATAATTTCCCTGCAGTCGGGGAAATTATCAGTGTGAAACGCGTCACGTGACTCCGAATACTGTACTCTGATTGGTCAAAATCAGAATTGAGGAAATTGTCCTTAAAATATTTAAAATATATTCTCGATTCTTTCAGAAACATTTTTTTGGGCTATTTTACATGACTGGTGCAATTTTTTATTAAAAACAACGAAATTATCTGTGTTGGAGTTGGATTTCAAAAAATTAATTCGTAATTGTTATTGCACACATTTTTTCAAAAATTTTGAAAAAAAAACCTTTGTAGTTCAAAAATCGAAAACCGTGGACTATTTTCAACATTTTAAGCGTTTGCGGGGTAAACAAACAATGAACAATTTTTTTTTGCACTAATTATTCACTTTTAGGCATATATAATCGATCTTCAATGTATGAGAAATCTCATTCCAATAACTCGCGACTTTAAAAACTCATAGTAGTCTCGCCTTAAGTAGTTTTTTCAATAAAATATTCTGTTTTAAATAATCTCAAAGATTTTAATTATTTTAATTCAGTCTTCTTCAATAAAGAAGAAGAGGAAGAAGAAATACATGACATTTATTATGTAAGAGAGAAATGATGAAGCGAGATGATATTTCAATCAAAAAAAATCTGCATAAAATTTTCTAAATCTCCCTCGAATTCCGAGAAATTTTCGACAAACAAATCTCAAAATGAATTTGATCTATTCCATTTGACCACTGCTCTCTTGCATTAGTTATTCATGTCAAATAAAAGGTGACTCTGCAAATAGTTACATCTCTGTACAACTGGCAGTCCTGAATCCATTACTCCAGTGAAGGAGCCCATTTATATCCGATTGAAATACTGTTGTATCATATTCCATGAATATTCTTTGTTCAGATGCAATGAGGGAGAAAAGATCAACGATCCTCTGACCGGTGCCCTGGTTGAGCTCCTTGATCAGCCAAAAGAACTAGCAGAACCCATAACTGTCCCTTACCTGAATCCTCTTGTACTACGAAAAGAATTGGAAAATGTGTTGAGTCAAGAAGGTGATACTTGCTTGACAAAGCACGGATTCATAGAAGAACATTTAATAGTCTATTGGAATTTGATCTGGTATTTCGAGAGGATAAATCTCAACAGCCATCTGCCCGAGTTGTGGTTGAACAATGACAGAGTCAAGGATTTATCCAGCAATTCGAGTTTAGTGGGTGTAAGAACGCTGTGGGACAATGAGAAACTGCACATGAATCGTTTACCAATGTATCTACAGTGGAGGCAGTGCACCGAAGACAGAACGTACGCTATTTCATCGTTCTTATCGCATTTTTGCTCCAATACAGAGCTTGCCAAAACTCTTGATGGAAATTTGAAGGCATGAAAGAGGGTGAAACCTGAGTCGAAAGTTTCTCTTCGGTTTTTGTCTCGGAGTGATAGTTAATGAGTTAAAGCAAAGTGAGGGAGGCTGCATTTTGCGGTCTGACTCCCCATCCCCCTCGGCGATACTTATGATATTCGGCTACTCACAGGTATCATCAATAATCAACTAAAGTTATTATTAAAGATGTATAAGAGGCGAAAAAACTGGGTGCGGCGGGATTTGGACTCTGGTGGGTATTGAAGCCAACGTCTTCTCACTTACCAGATTTTCTTTTTTTTCTCCTCTTATACGACTTTAATAATAACTTTAGTTGATTAATTAACCCCTCATATATGGGGTCGATACATGGCATCGAGCTATGAAAATGTGAATGACTCTTTTGAAAATTTACTATTTCCGAAGCTATTGAAAGTAACTGAACCAGAAAAATAACATCGAAAAGCGGAATACTGTAGCTTCAATTACGTGTCGGTTTCATAATTTTCCATTGATTAGAAGTCATCTAATTCTAGTTGTATTGAGTGTACCATCCTTGGAAACAAAACGGCCCCGTTCATGACAGGATAATAGAATTGACCAATGAAAGAGTTACGGACTGTAATTGCTACGACGTAGGCACTGGTAGAGCACTTTTTAAAGAACTTCATTAATATTTTGCTTGAATTCGTCGTTACCATCCCAATTATTCTCATAACAATTTAATTTCTATATCAAAGAAGAGTACAGGGAGGGGCGGGAAGGAATCGTTTCGGAGAAACTATTCCTATTGCACGGTTTGTCTTACTCTATTCCTTTGCACTGTTTGTCTTTACCCTTACACTATTAGAAATTCTTTGAAATTTGAGTATCTGAATTCTCAATGCTGTGAAGTTGAATTCATTCTGGAATGAAAGCGTTCATTGTGGAATGTTAATGAAATTGATTTTTCTATATTCTGTGATCATTAATTACAGCAGACTAAAAATTAAACATAATAGTTCCCTGAATTTTCATTGTCATATTGACCTAAAAAGCACAAATTCGTTGAATATTCATGGAATTAACTGATTTGTCAGTTTTTTATGTGAATTAGTCGTTAAAAATTTCAAAATTATTTGTTTGAAATTTCTGTAGTTCTCTAACATTTTACGCCACCATCATTCCTAAAGATGATCAATTAATAACTCGTTGGCCATCACCTGCAAACAAAAGTCAGAGGAATTTACGACTCATAATTTGACCCTCTTTCATTCCTTACAATTTCGGTCCGGAGTTTTGTGAATTTTTTTCTGTATATCATAACTGCTATCAAAACCGCCATTTTAATGTCATATTCGTGGATTTTTCAGACTGATGAAAAACGTCATTGACAATGTTCGTCGTAATAACTTGACAGACCCAATCAAACGTGTGGCCTTAGAGAGGAGTAAAGCCGAGGCGGCGGAACTAACACCATTTTCTATATACAGAGATATTTTGTTTTTGGCCTTTACAGTACTTGGAAGGGGAAATATTGATCAGGGTAAGCAGTCCGGAGAATGAAATAGTTACTTATTGAATATGACAAAACACTGAGAATTGGGAAAGAACTTTTTTTGTTCAAAATTGAGAAATATTCTACACAATTTGTTACGAAAATTATTTTGTCAAATTCGGAGAATTTCTCTAAAACTTGAAAGTCTGTGGAAGCTGCATAGACTTATCGAGAGACTTTTCATATCAAATGGGACACCCAAGAAGTAGAGAACATTCAGAATTCAACCCATGTTGCCCCATTTTTCAGGTTGGTACCATAAAAAAGCTTCACAAACCACAATTTTTATCTGTTTCGAATTTGGTTTTTATATTCGTTAGATACCAACGAATAGAATTGGATATCCGTTTTTTTTTCAATTTTGAATAGATCATGAGAGTATTTTTTTTTTACAATCGACGAAGGTGGCCAAAATGATTAAAACGTCGCTTGGCTCGGGTCCGAGTCTGGGTTTGAGCGAAGTTTTTTCAATAGCCTCATCATGGGGATTGAATGTTTGGAAAACATTCTCCGATGGTCCCCGGTCGACGGACGCCCATGTCAGCCCGGTTTTCCCGTCGTTTACCCCTGTCACCAGGACAGCACATGAAGTGCAGCTCCTGGGGTGAATGCGACGTGGTTGAGGGAAAAATTGGCCGGTGTAGCCGCAAAAGAGTACGGCTGGGATGGGTCCATACAAAACCTAATCGGCTATACGGGAAAAGGTTGAATAATAAATAATAATAGGAGAGAGTAGCGCAAAATGAAACTGTTTGACGCAATTCAAGCAAAAACATTTCATTATTAACTATTTTTCTTCATTAACTTTTGTTTATTTTTGCTTCCGAATGGAAGCATTGTAATCGACCAAATTTAAGTTTTCGATTTTTTCTGTTATATCAACCCATTATGATCCAAAAAGTCCGAAAATGCAATTTTTAGACCGCGTCTGTACGTGTGTACGTAGATATGTACGTATGTAACAAACTTTTTCTTCCATTATTCGCCAGTTCAACAATGGAATTCAATCTTTTTTTGTTCTCAAATGTAGGTCTTACTGAGCCCCATCCACTGCCATTAATTGAAATTCAATTCATTAACGCATTTTTTACATTTTCGAATTTTTTCAAAAATCTGTTTTTTTATGGTAGCTAAAAAAGAAATGTTTCAAATTCATTAAATAACAACTTAAAAAATTTGTTGAGATGCCCTTTCGACCGAGTTTGAAGATGAAGACGATATCAGTAATCGTTACTGTGATTTTTGTCAAAATTTGCAAACATTTTTTTTTTTTTGAAAATCAGAATTCCGCAGATATCTTTGGATTTCTGGCTTCGAATGAATTGTATCATGGCTTGATATGTTTGTATTGATGCCCTTAAGTGGAAGCTGAACGATGGTTACGATAACTGCCTCCGTTGATTTAATTTTTTAATAATAATTTTCAGAAATTTCAAATTTTTCATCAGTTTCCCCCAAAATTAACTTTTTCATGGTTTCTTCAAATGTGATTTTTCAAACTCAATCAATTATGAATAAATAGGGGAGAATGGCGCAAAATGGAACGGTGGGGCAAAATGGAACGGCGGGGCAAAATGGAACGCGGGGCAAAAGGGAGGGGGGGGAAAAATGGAACGGTATGGCAAAATGGAACAGTAATGAATTTTGCTNTTCTGGGATTTTTCGATAAATTTTTATAAATCTACGAAGGAAAAGGTGAAGGTGAAGGTGAGGCTTAAAATATGAAATTTTGTCTCATCATTGGTATTGTTTTGGAGCAGTTCTGAGCAAATATACTGTAATATAATTATATTTCAAATATTCCCGCTCATATATTTCATAGGGGAGAATGGAGCAAAATGGAATGGCGGGGCAAAATGGAACGGCATGACAAAATAGAACAGTAATGAATTTTGTTTAGGAAAACCTATAGGACCTTTTTTAGCTCCCCGATAAGGGAAGTTATTTCATGCCACCGCCGTGTAATAAGCAGTTAACAGCTAAAAATCCCCGACAAAAGTTTTGAATTAAACTCACTGAAAAATGAAAAATAAAAAACCGAATAATCTCAAGATAAAAACCTCTGACGAGAATGTCATTTTGTTAGAAATTTGTTAGAAATTCTCCAAGTTTTTAGAAATTTCGAATAATTGCAAGAAACTTGTGGAAATTTCGAGAAAATTCTTCAAGTTTCTCGAATTTTTAAACAAATTCAGGACAGTTATAAAACTTTCTAAAACTTTTTTTGTAGCCCTTGAGATTTTCTACGAATAAGGTTCCCATTCAAATTCTTCTATCCCCCTTAGATTACGAAATAATAGCCAAAAACTGCAAAATGGACTGTTGTCACTGACTTAACCTCGAATTATTTTATAATCAAGATGGCAAAATTCTTATAATAACCTTTCTTATAGCCCTTGAAATTGTCTATAAAAAAGGTTCTCATCAAATTTTTTCTATCTCCTTTAGATTACCAAATAAGGAAAACTATATAGTAGACTGATATGACTGACTCAACCCCGAAATATCATTTTTGACCTCACATTAGATGAAAAAAAAAAGTTGTCTAAATTTCGCTCTATTTTCATTTTTTTCTACCGTTCCATTTTGCCCCGCCGTTCCATTTTGCCCCACCCCTAAATTTTTTTCAATGATATTCTGTTGAAATTTTGTTATGATATAAATAGACTCGTTTTCCACCCCGAAGGGAAAAAAACGTATATTTTAGGTCTTGCCGAGGCTTGACCCTTCGGAGATTACCTTACGTGTCCTTCACATGTATGTGTGCCTAGAAACCCCCGTGGGAGCCTTCTACATGGGGAAAAGGGTACTTCGAATTGGGCTTCTAAGGGTCGGCTAGCTCGCGCGCGGTGATCGCGGAGAATGACGGCAAGCCCTTACTCGGGTCAAGCCTCGGCAAGACCTAAAATATACGTTTTCTTCCCTTCGGGGTGGAAAACGATTCTATTTTATCTCTGTGCCTGCGGCTTGACCCTTCGGAGAGCTGTTTATAATCTGCCGGCACTAGAAAGTGTACTGTGACTTCAAGATTTCCACAGATAAACTTTATTTCATATAAAGAAAAATCTTGAATACAAACTAGACAGTAACCCAAGTAATAAACAAAGTAATAATCACAGTTTCAAACTGGTGTAAAACTCTTAATGAGAGAACTTTTTGGACCAGGAACTTTGGAATCATCTACTTCCTTGAAGTAATGTTTGAAGAAATTATTTGCCCCTTCCCAGTTACCCCTCTTCAGTACTCGTCCATTGGCATCATGTTTTGATAATTATGAGATGCCACCGCTGACCTCACTGACCCTGGACTCGCTCGAATTCCTGCTGCTTCGAACGCAGTTTGAATCCAACCAGCAATCATCGCCCTTGAAGCTGCTCCCACCGTTCCTCTTGTTGATATGAACAGATGCGACAAATTCTGACGAGCTTTGCGTCTCTCAGCTGATAAGGAGATCAGTATTTCGATCCACCGAACCATGTCAAACACCGGATCTTCCGATCTGGTAATCTTCCAGCCTGATTGACGACAATCAGGCCTGTCTGTTTTCGGGCCAAACTCTGGCCAAAAGACAATCTCGTCTTTGTCGACAGAACAACTCTCTGAGCTGATCGAGAGAAGAGTCAGGTCATGAATCCTTCTCCCGGATGCTACGAGTAGGAGAAGCGCCGTGAAACGAGATACCTCAAAGAGACTTTTCTCCTCAGGCGGATGATTTGACAGCCAATCTGTTAGAATTTCTACATTACATACGGTAGTTTTAGAAGGCTTTGCGTTCTTCGCTCTTTGGATACCAATAGCCTTCAGCAGAGATCTCACCAATGGTCTTGAACTCAAGCTCTTCTCGCCTTCCGGATTATTCAATGAACAAATCACTGATTTCTGGGTTAGAATGGAGCTGTAGGCTAGATTCTTTTCGTAATATAAGAAGCTGAGGTATGTGACCAGGTGCTGAGCACTGGGCTCATCTGATGGTACACCCCTGGCCTTGCACCAAGTCCACCACTGTTTCCAAACTGATGAGTAAGTTCTCCAGGAAGAATCTTTCCAAGCTGAGCTCAGTAGACTTATTTCCAATTCAGATAACCCCTCTACGTGTTTGCCCCACCTCGTACCTTCCAAACCTCTAAAACGAGGTCCTTGACCCTCTGTGGAGGAAGACCCGTTGTCATGTTCACCAGGTGGTTCTCGAGATTCAGAAGTTGGAAAGGAGCCGCCAGACTCCTGTTCTTCAGTTCCCCCCTCCAAAAAGTCTTCTCCCACCTCGGAGCCACTACTAGGAAAATTCCCTTCGCCGTGTTCAGGTGATGTAGAACCTTCGGGATCAGTGGGGGTGGTGGAAACACCCAGGCCAAGTTTACGTGCCACGTCTTGCTGAAGGCATTTATGAACATAGCCTCCTGGTCGTTCGCCTCCAACGACACATACGCTGGCACCACTTTGGATTGAGATGGCGTTCCAGATTTCTCGAAAATCCTGCTCAGGATCTCTGTGCTCAGATGCCAATCTGGGAGTGAGAGGTTTCTGGAGAGTCTGTTCGCTAGGGTGTTGTATATTCCTGGGAGAAAGAAGGGAAGCAGGCGAATCCTGTACTGGTCCAACAACAATAAGAGTTTCTTGGTCAGGGTCAATAAAACCTGAGACCGAGTCCCTCCTTGATTCCTGATGTAAGCCACCACCGTTTTGCTGTCGGCTTGGAGCATGATCGAACTGCCTCGAAGTTGATCCTTGAACATCTGAATCGCCAGCCACACTGTGTAGAGCTCTTTGTGATTGATATGCCATTCTACTTGGTCTGTAGCCCACGTTCCCGCTTGGTACACGTTGTTTAAGTGAAAACCCCAACCGATCTGTGAGGCATCTGTCGTCAAGAAGATGTCTGGATCCGCCTGGAAGATCGAGCTTGTCTGATGAATGTTTGTTCTCCACCATAAGCAATCCAAGTGGCTCATCTCGAAGAGGGGGAACTTTTTCTTTGGCGATTCCTTTGA